GCTTGGGAAAAATTGTAACTTTCAAAAACTCGTGTTGTTATTGTACTTTTTTTAGCACAACAGAAGCAAAACTTCTGAAGAAACTGAACGAGAAAGAAACGAAATTAGCAGATCTTCTACATGAAGGTAAGTCTTCTACTGATTAATGCTGTGGTTATTTCTAGAGTAGTGATCATCATGATGTGGTGAACTTTACTTTCTTAGCTTCTACTATGACTTTAATAAGCTTAAATGCAGGTGAAAAATTAGCTGAAATGAATGGAAAATTGACGAAAGAGCTAAAAAGACTTAGAGCCAGCCTCGCCGAACATGAGCAGTTAGCAAAAAAAAGTAGCGAGGCAGAAACTGATCGAGATCGGGCTCGCGATGAAGCACGAACTCTTGCAACAGAAGTTACAAAATTACGGAGTAAGTTTCACGTGCTTTGTTATATTTCTTTCATATTTAGAGCTAATTAGCTGTTTTTCTAGCCATGATCAAATCTTTGGAAAGTAATTTGGCGGAATTAAAAGTAACAAATGAAGGTTTAACAAGTGATTTAAAGAGGAAGGACGATAAGATTAATAAACTGCTAGCAGATGTTCAGCAGTCAGAAGCAAGTCGAGAATTAGCTCACGAAGAATTGAAGGTATCATTGATTGCTGACTTGTTCAGGCCTAGTTTGTCAACAATAGTTTTTTTTTTTTTTTTTGTTTTTGTTTTTTAATGAATGAAGCCCTTATACACTTGTGCATGATAAAATATCGTTGCTAACTATGACTTATTGAAAATTTTAATGAAATTCAACCTTTCTTGAATCATTTTTTCCCCTTCATTAACGAACACCTTTTTCTGAATGTTGAACTTTGATCGTACAAAGTAAAAATTCATTCATTAGATATGAAGTGTTTATTCCATAATGTCTTGGGTTTTTTCGTGGAGAAATTTTTAGGCTTGTAAAGTGGAATTAGAATTGTATCTTTCTTTCACCTTTCAGAGACTAGGAGCTGCCTTTGAGGAGGCTTCGATCAAAGTTAAGCAAAAAGAAATGTCGTCAAAGAGTATCGAAGAGATCACTCGAGGTTGGATCATGATGTTTTTTGCTCATAATGAGTTAGTTTTGTTGTAGCATGCTAATGTTGCATTTATCGAAGAAAAACTGAAATATAAAGCGTTGAATCAGTTACATTATCAAGTTGTTAAGCTATTTGCTGTAAATTGCAAATTTTGAAATAATTCCGGTTATTTTTCAATATCAGCTGTTTCTCTGTGAAATTACGACGATTAAGCATTTTTGATTTTGAGATAGGTATAAGTTTTCGAAATTTTAGAGCTTTGTTATAGGTTTAAATGCAGATCTTGAAGAAGAGAAAAAGAAAAATGAACAGCAATCAACCTACATAGATTCGCTGGAAAAGGTTGTAATAATAATAATTTGTGTAATACAGCTGTAATAATTTTTTTTTTGTGCAGTTATGAATAACATGGCTTATTATCACAGTTTTCCGCAGTACAATAATCCAAACGAATGTGAACCCACATATAGCTGGAAGATTCTGTTTTTATGGTAGTTTGAAAGCTATCACTATGACATTATCATGTAATGCATTAGTAATATGCTAATAGCAAGTTTTCAAAATTTTTCAGGATAGTCTTCAAGAATTCCTTACATAGTTATCATTTTAATCATTTCTTGTAGTGGGAATGATGATAATGGTATTCTTTGTATTTATTATTTTTGTTTCAGAGACTTGGTGAAATGATGGAAGCAAATCAGAATAATGCTGAGATGATTGCCAATGGTAAATTTTCTGCATTCATCAATCATCTGTTTCAAAATCATTATAAAGAAGCAATAAAACTACTCGTTTCACAGTATTTCAGCTTGCATGTGATGGTTCTTAATTTAGTTAGTGCTCCGTTACTGGAATCGATACAGCATTTAGAAGAAAAAGTTTCGGCAAAGGATAAGGAATACGAACAAACTATATGCGAAAAAGAAGTAATTATAAATGCACTGAACTCGGAAAAAGGTATTTATGTATCAGTTGAATATTTGCAACGGTTAACGATGGATAAAGCTCTGCTGTAGTTTACGAGACGAAATTCGTCTTCTGAACCAAAAAGTTTAAAATTTTGTTTAATTTGACTGTTAGTTTGGGTGGTTATACATGAAAGTTCTTTATATGCATCTGCTCCTTGTTTGATACTCAACGATGTTTCATCCACGTGCATATATTAAATATCCAAGTTGAATAAAGCGATAAAAAATTCTGATTTAAGAATTTTTACTTTATTGATACTTTAAATTCCTATATGCTAAAAAAGTTTTTCTATTTATTCACAGTTCTCCAAATTTTGATGTTTATTTAACTGGCAGAAATAATTCGTTTACCGAAAATGATTATCAACAATCAAATATACTATCTGAAACTACTTCTTTTTCAGGACACATTGTAATTGAAAATGAAGAAACAAAAAAAGAAAACGAAAAGGTGAGAAGTTGCTGATTTGGGGGGAAGTTAGAATAATTGAAATCTTGTGCAAATATCAGAAATTATTGGTTTTTTTTTTTTTTGTTATCATGTTGGAATGATTAATTGTTAGACAGAAGCAGCCAACTAGTGGCAAGTAGTAAGAAAAAGAATAGTGTAATTTTCCAATTGAAAAAGGGAGAGAGAGAATGCCAGGAAGGAATAGAGACGGAAAGAGTGGGAAACAATGAATTAGCGAATAGGTGGTGTGTAATGGAAGAAAACAAGGATGACATGAAGTTCTGATGGTACGAATGGTGGCAGTGTGGATCGGTCTTGTTCATAGAGAAACTCTCAAGTTTGGGAAGAATATTTTAGTACCTTTGCGTCACTAATTTACTATTCTGTATTAATTAATAAATAGCAAAACACATTAAGCTATTCAATTAATTTGCGTTTTGGTACTTAACTAAATATAGTACATATTTTACTTCATCGAAATGTAAACATCGCCCCTCAAACTTAGAAATTATATTGTTGAACAGAGAGAGAGAGAGAGAGTTATGTGGTAAGTGTGAACGAGGGCGTCTCTTGGTTCGTTTATTATTTTATGATTTCGAGGCATGTAATCAGAGTTGTTTTGCAAATGTGAACCTGGAGACGCCAAGGCATTTTCATTTTTGTAAACAAAATTTTCAGTGAATGCTTGCCGAAGCGTCTCTAATTTCACTGTTTGCAGGATGACAAGAATATTAATGCTGAAAATATGACATGTCATTCTGATACTATCAATGATTCGAGGCAGCTATCAGGAAGTGAGGAGAAATTGAAAGAAATGAGGACACGATCAGATTTTATATTTTTAAATGAAATTGGTGAAGGATCATTTTCTACGGTATATCATGTTAGAGAAAGAAGTACTGGAAGAGAATTGGCAGCAAAAGTATGCTTCAAAAAGCAAATAATTCGTGAAAAAAAAATCGATTATATATTTCGGGAGAAGGAAGCTCTGATACGATTATCGAACAGTGATGGGAAGCATCCATTCCTGGCACAAGTCATGTGCACATTTCAGGATATTGAAAATCTTTATATCATAATGACGTTGGCAAAGAAAGGTGATTTATTGAAATTAATGCGAAAATCAGGTGGAAGATTTGATTTGAACTTGACACGATTTTATGCCAGTGAAATTGTTGTAGCGCTGGACCATATACATTCGTTGAAGATAATTCATCGTGACCTGAAGCCGGAAAATATTCTAATCTCTGAGACAGGTCATATTCTTGTTTCTGATTTTGGTTCTGCTAAGATTCTTGATCGCGCAAAACCAACTAGACAAATGAATAGGCCGGAGAGTCAAAAGCGACGAGGTTCTTTTGTTGGCACGGCGCAGTTCGTTAGTCCAGAAGTTTTAAAAGGTGAACCAGTACAACAGGCTTGTGATTACTGGGCTTTGGGTGCCATCATTTATCAAATGCTTACCGGTAAGCATGCATTTCATGACATATGTGAATATCTCATTTATCGACGAGTTATGAATGCTACATATAAGATTCCGGATAATTTTCCTGAAGTTGCGGCAAGTATTGTGAGGAAATTACTAGTTGTAAAAGTGAGCGATCGTTTGGGTTCTGTCGAGTCCGGTGGAGCTGAAGCTGTGAGGAAAGAACCGTTTTTCAATGATATCCAATGGGATCGAATTACGGAAATCGAAGTACCGCAAGTGCAATTCAGTTCCGAAGAATGTTGATAGTATAATAAGAAAGTGATTTAGAGGATAGTAGTTCTCTCATATTTTGTGATATAATAGAATATGAAAAATTGTGACATTAATTGTGAAGGAATAGATGAGTATATGCGTATCTTTCGCGTATATTATAATTCATGATTTTATAAGGTACACTCTTGTAACGTAACATCTTGAACCTGTTCGTTTTCTTTTTTTTAAAGTTTTAGCCCCACAAAATATTGGACGTATTATTTATACTTATTTTTTGTAGATGTAGTGAATTTCAAATGTATTCTTTTTAAGTAAAACATGATTTATATTACAATTTTAAGGAATATTAGGAACTTATATGTATATTATTTAAAATTTCTTTGTGTTTATAAGATTTTTAATGTTGTGGGTGTTAAATGAATAACGAATGAAATTATTTATTTCATCCACTATTTATAGCTTTCACAATGAAATTTACTGCCTAATTTAATATTTAGAAGTATTTTTTTCAGTTTCCATTTGTTGATGTTTTCAGTTGTTTTTAATTATTTTACGCTTTTTTTCTTTTGCGTGTGTGTGTGTGTGTGTGTTTTTGTTTGTTTGTTTGAATAAACAATACAAATAATAATACGAAAAAAGATATGATATATTGTATTATAAATATGTGAGAATAAACAAAGAGTACTGCTAGTAGAATGGTTTATGAACTGCAAGGAGTCTTAAATGGAGAAAAAATATTTGAATTCAATTCACCTCATATTATTATTTAGAATTTAGTGTTAAATAAGTTTGAGTGAGAGGTTTTCAAAAAGATTTAATGCAAAATGTATCGTTTGTTGTTTCATTGTACAGACGTTTTGTACGGTATTTTTCCTGAGAAGGTCTGATATTTGATGCATAGTGAAGTTTAATGGTACTATTGAAATTAATGAGGGTTACTTAATACGCTTGTAAATTTGGTACATTTTAAAATAGCTGAATATCGGAATTCAGTAATATGTCTCTCGCTTTTGGTATTATTGCCTGATATAAATAGCTAATAAATCTAAGCTGTCATATTGTATTGATTCTGGGGTATGTTTTGTTCCTTATTTAATGTATTTGCTATTTCTTTTCCACAATGATGTAATGTTTTTCCTTAACTTTTTTTTGTTTTTAGCTACGAGAACGTATACAGGGAAATTTGGTTACAATAGAAAAACTTAATGAACATGTTCGACAGGTTGAGCAGCAGAATTCGATGTTAGTTTTTTTTGTTGTTGTTGTTTTGTTTTAAGAAAAATGCTAAAGCTTTTGATTTTGGATTGGATAATTGCACAATATATGCTATGATCTCAGTTCGATTTTATCATTAGCTGATATTAGATTGTCGGGTGGTTCTGTATCGCTAAAAAAAAGTTTTTGATATCTAAAAATTTTTACGAACTCATTTGGAAAAAAAATAGTGAGATGTGTGTGATAAAATAATGGCAGCGAAGTCTTTTTCAAGATTGGAAATTAATTCAAGAAAATTACTGCATAAAATAGAAGAATTGACGAAGAAACTGAGCGAAAAAGAAGATGAAATTGGAATGTTTTATGTACGGTTGAACAATGAAACGGATGCATTCAAAAAATGCATTATACAAAAAGTGTAGTTTTATGCCATTTCTTATTTATTAATTATATTATTTGCTTGTTCAACCGTAGATTTGCCAAGTTGAGAAGGTTTCTAAAATTGTATTTTGTTAGAAATATTTTTGTCGGATTTATTTTTTCACTCTTTTGTTCTTGGGACTATGTAATTATTATACCATTAATGACGAAGGAATTTAAGGTTCCAATTAATATTTCAGATATTTTGTGGTAAATTTTTCAATATAAGCGATATTTTTTGAAAGTTTTAGCAAAGTGAATTAGATGATGCTAAGAAATATTCTGATCTTTTGGAGAAAGAATTGCATAAATGGAAGAAGCAAAGTGATGAATATTTATTGGAGCGAGAAAAGAGACAAGATCATTGTCCATCAAACGGTGGTCCTTTTATGCTCACTATACCAAATCATACGATTCAGGTTTTTTTTACTACCGTGTGGTATTCGTTTGACTAGTGAACAAAAGATGTTGGATCAGAGTTCAATTTAAATTTTAATACAAATTTTGTGAGAGAACGAAACTGTTTGCGTTAACAGACTAATAGAGAACTAGGTTGAGAAAATATTTGTCAAGAAAATGAAATAAGTGTGATCAAATGTCTTTTAAAATTTAGTATTGGGGTCAAAGAACGATTTCTTTGATTTAAAAAAAAGATTTTTTGGTTGAGACTTTCATTAAATTTTCATTTATTTTGTCTTTAGTAAAATAGTACATTTATGTCTAAAAGTTCATGTGTTTAAGGTAGAGCTAGCTGATGCTTTAGCTAAATATGAGCAGTCTATGCGACAAATTTCGATACTTGAAGAGAAAATTTCGACAATGGAAGCCGAAAGTCAATGTTTAGGGTCACTTCGACATGAATTGCAGGTTTGATTTTTCTTTTTACGAACTTAACGAGTTTGCCAAATTACTTTATCATTCATTACCTTATCATTTTCCCTTTCAGAAGGACCTCCGCATGAATAGGGAATAAGGGAGGAAAAATAAATGCCAGGGAAAATGAAATAGGTGTTATTGAGTTTTAATCCTTTCATGGAATTTCTTTTCATTGCTTGAGATATTCAGCTGTGAGATAGTTTAAAAATTTAAGTTGGGAAAAAGATAGTTTGATAAAAAAATATTTCCATGTTTGACTGTCTTCAATTGTAACTCAAACTGCAGATCCCTGCCTGGTGGAAGCACTTTAAACCAAAGCAAAGAATAAGATTTACAGACACTGAGGTCGCGTTATGAAAATTTGTTGGAAGCACACGGTGAAAAAATTGAGCGAGTTGAAGAACTTGAGTTGGATTTAGCTGACCTGAAGAAACTATTAAAGGATCAGGTAATCACTTGAATGTTAAACTGGAAGCAGTGATATTTCAACTTTTTAAGAATTAAGGACTCATCTTTCATGAGTAAAGTTACGTCCTGATTGGGGCAACCTGAGATTTTGTTTAATTTGACTTGTTGGTTTCTAATTCCATTTTCTTCTAACATTCTGAATAAATACAACTTCCAAGTGACATAACCCAGAAACGTAATTATTTCCGGAGGAATTCTCTCATTTCCATTCGGTCAATTACTTAGAATCCTAGTTTTCTTAACTGCAATTAAATTTTTCAGATGGAATACTTCTTGGAGAAAAGCTGAGATTATTAATCGTCGAGTAAATTCTTCAAGATAGCTGTGTAATAGATATAATAAATATTGATGGATGGACCTACTAAAAAAAATTTTTTTCAAAGAACGATTCAGAAAATAGCCATTTCAATTTAAAGTTATTTGTTAAGAAATGTTGTTTCTTAGGTTTCAGAAAAATAATTGATGGAAGCCTGCTTTCTGGAATTCAAACTTCCATTAGGTATTGAGCATTATGGACTTCTTAGTTTGTTTTGACCACTTGACTTGAAAGTTTCGAAAAAATGATCTGGAATTATGTGCGACTTATCTGTATATGCATGAGATTTCGGTTGTTGTTACCACAGGTTTAGATTATTCATTTTTTTAACTTAATTGTTTTTAGTGACACATACTAATTTTAGCTAGTACCAGTCTGGTTTTGTCTTGCGATTTCTTGTTCTCAGCAAAAGCTAAATTGCCTGTCGAATTGCAGAATCAAATTAATGTTAGGCTCAAAAGTATAAAAAAAATTATGCATATTTTCCCATATCTTTTACGATTTCTTAACCAATGTGTGCTAAAATGTCTGTGATACTTAATTTTTCCAATTTCAATTTGATGATTATAGTTTTTCTGTTCGGTTCTAACGGGTTTCCAAAAAAAAAAATTGGATATTTCCATGATATATATTTTGTAAAATTTAAATGTCGCCTGCATACCATTCTTTATCTGCACGATAAGAAAATTGGTTTAATAAACTTCTTTTGCAGGTATATATATATACCATCTTCCAAATTTTGACCAAAATTTGCATTTTATGCATAAATAAATATAAGTCACAAGAAACTGTTCTGTTTGTGTACACTTGGAAATGATTATGTTTTCGTCTTCTCAGATGAAAATAGTACAAGTCCATTCTAGGTGAGCATTTACTCATAATTTGCTTCGAGGGAACTACGATAATTTAAATATATATATATATATATATATATATATATAGACGGAAATTTTTGTGGACGTATAAATGCATTGACTGCTTCGTAAAATTACGTAAAACATCATTAAGCGTACTTATATCGTATGCACAAGCATCGTTATATATGCACAGGCGTACATATATATCATTATGCACATACTTATGCAATCAGTAGTTAATGCACAGAATTATCACTTCTGTTGTATACATTATGACATTACAAAAACGAAAAAGAAAAAAACAAAGGTTCATCTTTTCATTCTTATGCATTACATTCTTACCATAATTTCGTAACATATAAAATAATAGAAATAGTTAGACAACATTATAGCAAAAATTCTGGCGTAAAAATTGAAATTGCTGTAAAAAGTGAAGTTAGTATGAAAATTGGGACTAATGTAAAAATGGAGTTGATAGAAAAAGTGAAAGGAATTAAGTTTAAATTTAACCTGACTGCAACAGGGACGTATACTTAACCATGCTATATGAGCTGGAGTGTTTCATCACGTCCCAACCAATTGTAATTGAATTGGAATGACGTCATGAGTCGATAAAATCGGGACGTTCTGCAAATGATGTAGTAGAGAGTTGTCGGCATGTGTGCTTTCTTATTCATACTTGTTGTGCATAATAATATCATTAATGTGATCATATTAATTAATTGAAAACCATTAAAGAAAACAATTGTCATTAGTTCGAGTATTTCTCAATGATTTCAATTCTTACAATTATATTTATTTAAACTAATCATTATTATTAAGCATATTTCCAGACGAGACCAACAGGGAATCGCTTCGAGTGCATCGGTGGAGCAAAGCTCCTAATATATTCATATCGGTTTTGGTTAATTTTGATGTAAGATACGAAAGGGCATTTTACGCCACACAGTAACAATATTATGTCTGAAGGTTACTTAACCATATATCATTATCATAAGTCTTTTTCTTTTTTTTTTGGTTAAAATTTTTCTTTAAAAAAAATATTCAAGTTTTATGAAATTAATGAAAAAGATTGAAGTAATTCTTGGATAAAGATATGGCCAACAATACTTAATAATATTATTTTTTTTCTTTTGTTACCATATCCTTATCCATTTATAATACTTCTGCTGTGTTTAATAAATCATACTTGTGTTTTTTACTTTTATGAATAATAGTATCATTTTTATGAGCTATCGTACCTCTCCGCTTGTAGTTGTAAAGACGAAAAAAGAAAAAGGAAAAAACATTTTGCTTATCTTTTAAATCGTATACTGCAACATAAAGCACCCAGTACTTCTATTATTTCTTCATTCGACAGGGTATATAGAGATCATTCCGTGCCGGCAGTAGCACCATTAGAAAAGAGAAGCGAATTATTTTAGATACATCCCTAATTTTCATATTCTGATGCAGGTACACATAGCATTTTTAAAAGAAAGGAAAACAAGTGTTACCGGTGTGCGGGAATTAAATGATAATTTAGATAAATATGAAAAACACCTATAAATGAAAACTAGGAAGAATCCTGAAATTGCCATATTCATTAGCAAAAATGAATAAACTTGTTCCATTTAATTTGTTAAAATTACAAATATATTTCTTTTCACCCTTTATGCAGTTGATCAAATCGCTAAAAAATGCAAATTATTATCTATTTATATATTTATATGACTGTTTTTCGCAGATAGCAAAAATCCACGCAAGATACGCGTAAAGGGACGAGCAGAAGAGGAAAATGATGATTCCACTCGTGAAAGGTAGACGAAAATACTTATTTCAAGCATTTATTATCATTTACTCTTTTTATTTCTTCTGCATGTATGTAAAAAGGTATTTGTGGTTAATTCATTATAATGTATTTCTTTATGCCGACTTGATTTATAAAGTGTATGGTCACGTCACTCATGTTTGGAGGATGATTGTTGCAATAATTGAGCAGTTGTTAGGACCGCTTAGTCTTTACCCTTCAAACGTGGTCGTATTTTTCTAAAAATATTGCATAATATATGGGATATTTTATTAGCCTTTTAACTGTATTACCTGGTTTTACCGTAGTATACATGGAAAATATCCATTAATGCCATCTGCTAGCATTTTATAAAGCTGAATTAGTCTTTAAGTATATTTATTAGAAATAATTTGGTGAAATTATGGAAATACTGCTTTATCAATTAACTGTCATGAGACATAGGGCCAACTAAGCATATTGGATTTCAAATTTGATCATTATTGGTATTTGTAACCGTTCACTGAACTATTTTAATATATTAAATGTGTCATTTCAGAACTAAACGTGAAATCAGTGTCTCAGCAAATGAAACAACAGTCGAATCAGGTTTGTTCCCTTTTTGTTAATTTTTTTTTTTTTTTATTGGTTTGCTTTGAACTGAAGCGTCTCAATTATGAAGCCATTTATTTCCATTCAATTTGAACCATAATTCAAAAGCAGGTGATGCCGGAAGAAGAACAAGACGAAGACCATTTCCCGTTGTTCAAGAAGTTTTACGAGTAAGCTTTCTGGCTGCAGTCTTTAAGAAACTGTGATTTTGTGTTTTTTTTTTTTTTTTTTTTTTGGAATTTCAAATGTAAAAAGAATTTATATTATCAAGAAAGGGCAACATAATAATCGTTAAGAAAAGTGAATAGATTCATTAGACTCACTAATACTAACTTTTTATAAGATAGTCAATGATCCGATGCTAGCATATAGTATGGAATAGCCGGACTCTTTTTAAGACTTCGATGGATGTTTCAGGTCATTTGAACGTTCACAATTTATCATTTAAGCATTTAGGCATGGCATGTATATGTTAATACTAAACATTATCATTGATATCTTATTTTGGATAGGTGATGAAAATTACGTTAATATATTAGATACTGAATATGAACTTGTAGTAATTGTTTTTTCTACAAGAAATTCTAGAACCAGTCTGAAATTGGAGAGGCATGTTGCGAGTCCGAGCAGCCTATACGTTCGAGTAAACGTTTAAAAAAATCTGGGTTCAGTTCTGCTGATGAAGTTTCGGTAAGATTTTTTTGGGATTTACATGTAACAATCCGCCACTGTTTAAATGTATGAGGAATTGTGATTAATGTATAAAGAATTGAGTTGCTCTTTCGATTTTTTTTTTTTTTTTTTTTTTTTTTTTTGTATTTTTTGTTGTTACGTAGAGAAGTTTCTCACTGATACTGAATATCTGTCTCAAACCGCTTTGAATGTAACATCGGAAAAAGTCATTCAAACTGAAGGGGACAGTTTATTTTTCTAGTTTAATGCTTTCCATGACCACAATGCTGTTTTTGTTTTCAGCTCAGAGTAACTTCTTTAAGTGTGATTTCAAGCCAGTTTTCTTTGCTTTTCAGCACACCACTTTACGAATACCTTCACTCACAGAATTTATTTCAACACTTTAATACTATTACATGCCTTTATAGTAATCCGATATAGAGATTTTATACGAGTGAAATTTTAAACTTTACAAGTCATTTCAAAACAGACTTTTGAATATATTTATTGAGCAGAATTAAATTTTGTTAATTTGCAAGCAAAGAGCAAATGCTGTGAGTGGCGAAATAGATTTATTTTGGTGGAAGAATTTCAGAAAACACGGATTATGCATCAAGAGAAAGTTGGACATAATTATGAGGATGATGCAGTAGATGTTGTCACCAGTAACGATGATTCATTGGCAGAACTTGATGTTGGATCGTGTATAGTTTATTTTTTTGTTTTGTTTCATAAATTTAAATGGAAATATGCCAGTAAGAAAACACTGAATAGATTTTGGAAACTTCTAGCCTGCTTCGAAAGCAAACACCAAAGTATCTTTAGGTGTGTCAGAAAGTTAAGCTATACAACAGGTTCAACTGCACTGCAGTCATTATACTTTTTCAGCTGTTAAAAAAATAACGAGTGAATTTGGAAACCATCGAAAGGACGAATTAGGAGAAGGTTTCCAACAGTATGTCTTAAATCAAGCCCAGAAAGGTATTTCGCCAACAAGACGTGATATATTCGTTGATGATGATATCCGTTATGGATACGACGGACCAACTGGTAGTAGCACTTCGAGTATGTTGAGATTGGACCGAAAACCTATGCCGGCAACTGCACCTCTACTGACAACTGAACGAACACATATTCGAGTTGCAAAACGTAAACATGGTGAGTTTAACTTTTAAGTAAACTAACATATGATGCTTGATACATGTTTAAGTGGTTTTTCGAAAATAAAATATTGCAATTAGTCGCGAACATTTAGATGAAACGGCTAAACACAGGGAAAGAAGATTACAAGAACGAGAATTGTTTCAGAGAGATGCACGAGGCAGAAATGCTAGAACGAAGTATGTGCTTCACATTTTTGTGTATTTTGGAAATTGAAAGGTGTAATGTAGATGCCTGATTTATTGATTTTTTATTGATTTACGTAATAGATGCTTAAGTTTATGGTTCCCAGCATTTCAGTTTCTAGTTTTTTTTTTTTTTTTTTTTTTTTTTTGTATATTAAAGAACAATAATGCTTAAATTTTCGTTGACAAGAAGGATTTTCTTTAGATTGAAACATGAATTGATGAATATAAAGTGAATTTATTGACATGCTTTGATGCATTATTTTTCCTAGAAATAAATATGATTAACATGATTTTAAATGTTATACTTAGGAACCTTCACACACTATGGAAGTTAGAAGTTAATATCTGAGGCTATGAAATATTTATTTTTGTTTTCAGTCGATATTATTACGAAGAAGAAAAGCCAATACTGGATGACGTTGATGATGTAAGTCAAATTCAAAGTTGATAATCATGTCTAATTTTCTTTCCTAAATGCATGTTTCCAACATCAATATCCTTAATGTTTGGATTGAAACAAGCAGTTTTGTGTAACGTATTGATAATCGAACCAAAACTAGTGATAATTCTTTGATCTACACCTTCGCTGTTTCAAAGAAGTTGAAAAAGTTTTAAAAAAATTTTGTGAAATAATGAAATTATTATTCCTTTTTTTGACGAAATTATTTTAAAAATTTTTTAAGGTTATGTATGCTGAGATTGGTCTTGGTGACAATGATTTTATCGAGACTAGTTTCGAAGAAGAGGAGCTGATATATGACGATGATCTTGTGACTGCAGGTGCTGCTGAAGAAGGGAGTAACTGTGATAGTACTATGGGTGCAGAACGCATGCGAAGCCAACCTATTCAGGAAACACAGCAAGCAGGTGTGTTAGATTTGTGACTTGTGACCTCTTTGAAATAGTATATGATCCAATTTCACTACCACAAGAAGTATGATAGAAGTAGTTGGAGTTTTCAGGAGAAATGTTGTGCTGAGCGATAGATTTGTCAGCCGGTTATATCGTTTTGTGAGACAGTGATGTGATCAGTGCCGTTTATTTTCTTTGTTTTATATTATATTATATCGTAATTAAAAGTCCTTGAATTTAGGTCGTGCAATACCAAAGCAAGAGAGTGTGATCGAACAGGTTAATGATGGTATCGAATCCAACGATGATGAAGCGCCACCAGAATTAGAACCTCAAAGTCCTGCTCTGCAGAAAGTTGTACAGCGTTCAAGTGCGAATAAACATGATGTACATCTTTCGTTATTTCTTTATTTGAAATTATATTAAAATAATTTCTATTCTATCCATCCAATTCATAAATTTTTTTGAATTTTTTGCTTTAATTTTTGATCTTTTTGATTAAAGGATGTAACGAATTTTACTGATGGCGTGGGTGAGATGCAAGTTATCTGTGTTCAAACACCAAACGGAACGGAACAATTCATACAGCTTGCTCCTGGGCAAACTCTTGATGGCAAGCTTCTCTTTTTTTGCCCGAAAATTGGTTGTTTCGTGTTTGAATACTTAGTCTGTTAAATTTCTTTTAAAAAATGATAAATTTAGACTTTCCAAGTTTCAAAATTTCCAATTATTTTCATTTCATGATAAACTTGACTCATTCGTAGTAATGTCGGCTTTCATATGATGAAGAGCGATTTAATAATTTTAGTTCCTCCCTCTCAATTTATATTTCTGTGCTGTCAGTGTGCTAGAATTTTTTCTATATATTGTTTCTGTGAAACTAAGTTTTCAATAATGCAAACTGTGTTCCATCAAAACCAGACAACTCTTGATTAATGTTTGGTGTCTTTTAGACGAAAACGCCCTATTCATGAGCGAAGGTGATAATGTTGAAGCGAACATACGCCATGATCTCCGAGCGGTTGAATTTAGTTTTTTGGATTCAAAAAATATATGTTGCGGCTTATGTGGTGAAATTGTTTTGTATGACTTGCTGCTCAGTTCCCATATTCCACAACATCATCCTGAAGTAATGGAAATTATTTCATATTTTCGGCTTTCTCATCCGCTAATTTTCTTTTTGAGTTTTGTTTTCCTAAATTTAATTTCTCAGCGTTTCCAAGAAAGTTGTTAAGAAATTAGTTGCAATTAAAAGGTTGAAAAAGGCTGTGATATATTGTGGAACATTGTGGTTTTATTTATTCAGTAATTTTTAGGTATTAGAAGAAGGCGTAACGGCATTCGAGGATGTTCCATATGAAACTTGGTTAAGAGAAAAGTTAAATGAAGAGAAGCGACGCATGGAAAATAATGTGTGCAACATTTATGATGATCTTTCATCTAGTCATAATTCCAATCGTATTTATCGAAGCGTTTCTACGGTAAAAGCGTTTAAATTTTGATTTAATGCTATAAAAGTGGTTGCAGCAACGAGAACCTTAGTCATCTTTGTGGTGATAGAATTCATATGTAGATTATCTACCAGCATGCAAGTACGGACTTTCTGATGTATTAAAAAGTTTAACACGGTAACTTATAATATTTTAAGTCGCTTATACCTGTGAAAACGAAAAGTTAGGTGTTTGAACTATTTAAGGTGGAAACGCCTAATATAGAGCAAGTTTTCAAATTATGCTGACGTTCAAAAATTTGCGATAAATTAAATAGGATGAAGTGTTCAAGCATCATTTCAAAACCTTTTTATTGCTTTCAGATTCGTGTCAACCCAAACGAAATGTCGCTTAATCAGCTAATAACAGCTTTGCGAAAAAAAATGTTCGAAAAGTTAGGTCGCGCAGTATGTTTTATTTGTATTATTTGCATGCATTTTTGAACTAATTAAACCTGAGAACCAGACACAGCAGTCAAAAAACAGATAATTACAGTATGTTCTGCTTTAATAAAGTGTTTGCATTGTCATGAAGAATAAATCTGTATGTGATTTGCTTATAAAATTCGTGTTATTCTTTCTGATTCATTTAGTTACGTGACTTTAACTTCATTTATTTTTTCTGTTTGAAATTCATAAACTTTTGTAATGCTTATTATGTCAGCGACAACTAAAATAATGATTCATTCAGGTACCCGTAACTCTGGTGGATAAACAACACGCACGTTGTGGTATTTGCAATGCGGTAGTATCTCTTAATCGTAAATTTGAAGTTGTGCATCTAGTTCGACATTTCAATGCATGGCATCCATCGATTCATCAGTGTGCTGGAAAGTGGAAACTTAGGGTTACATAATGCTTATCATATGGACTTCGTAGATATTAGCTATCTATTAGTTTAAAGCGGAAGCCGTTACGAATAATTTTTAGATTGTTTCTGAAATTTTCTTTTCATAAGAATTTATCTGGTTGTTTTCATGTGGATTTAACTGAACTGAAATATGATTTTTTTTTATGTCTCAGAGCCCTGGTCGAATAAAAGTATGACTTTACTTTTTCCGAATTGATTGAAAATATTCTGGCTATTCTTGTAAACTTTCCAGTAAGATGCTTGTTTTAATGTTGACTTTGACCAATTAGTTTACTTCATTTAATGATATATTTTTTATCTTGCTTTTTCAGAAGCCACAGCCAGGACTCGGGAAACCTTTATCAATTCAAGATTTTGCTGTCATCGATACTTCACTTGATCGTGGAGCGAATTTACAATGTATTTGGTGTGGTATGTTTATGGCAGCTGAAGCACTGGCCATGCATTTTTCGGAAGTTCATCCAGAAGAAGTTGAAGTGCCAAAATGTAATCTTTGTTTACAGGTGCGTTTTTTTCTAGTGCAATGACTTAATTCTTTTATGAATTTTGCCAACATCTTAAGTGTTTACAGACTTCTAAATGTATTTAATTATAAAATTTTCTTTCAAGGAGCTTGTTATTAATGCTCGTTTGTTGGAGAAATATGGTGATGAATTTGATGTTTCAATGCCAGATGAACATCGCATTAGATGTGGGAAATATGGTACAATGCATACATCAGAAGCCCGTTTACATGCTGGTTTATTTTATTTTATTTTTCTATTTTCTTTTGCTGTATTTTTTCGCACTGGATTGAACGACATATCCTCACAAAAATTTTCTATTTTACTCTCCGTAACAAATACTACATAGGTATTTCGGAACAGAAGAGATGAATTCCTTGTAGTAATCAGTTAATGTGGTTATTAGCTCAGAAATCATATTTTTATAGCGATAGAAAAGCGACTTAAACTCTGTGAAGAAGGAAAAAATACAAATGATGTCGAAGATGATGAAATGGAAGAAGAAAGGACTACAAATTATGTAAATAGTCGAATGACATTCGGTTGGTATTAATTGCTTGAGATTTTCAAAGCACTTTACGATTAAATATGATTAGCGGCGATATTGTTTGTATCATAATAGATGGTAGATTATGTTTGACTTTTTATATGAGTTCTTCCTTTTTATGTTGATTGTTTTGTTGAAAATTTTATCGATTGCATTAGCCATTATCCATCACATTGTACAATATATTGAAATATAAAATGAAACTTAGCAATTTTCAGATGATATCAATGCCTAACAGATAATATCGTTTATGCGGCTTTATTTATTTATTTATTTATTATTATTATTTTTTTTTTCAGGTCGTCGAAGTAAACCAAAACGTCAGTTTATAATGCCAGCGTTACGACAGGCAGCGCCAGTAAACAGCCGATATGTGGAAGCAGTAAACGATTGTCATTGGAAATGTAAGATGTGTAACGGAGATATTTTAGCAGCTGTGATAAGTGCTGGAGCAATACGTCACTTCCGAACTGAGCATCCACATCATCTACATAGCATGCAGTATGAATTATGCAAAGTTAGGAATTGTTCAATTTTTTTCCCCTCCCGTCCTCCTCTTCTCCCCCTCCCCCCATTTTTTAAATTAAAGAAAATGAACTTGATGTATACAAGTTTTGCATAACCAATAGGTCAGTAGAGACGTTTGAATAGTTAGCATTGCATCTTGCTTATAACGCAAGAGAAATCATACTTGGTCTAAACTCAATTCTTCTGCTTTAATTTTATGTCCATCCGACCTTCACTAAAATGTTTTATGATTATTATTACATCTGACATTAGCTCCTAGTAATAATATTAAAGCTTGGGATTCAAATCAGAATTTTCATTTACAGACAAGATTGGAAAGGATTTCTGATGGTTGCATGGAATTCATCAATCCGCAGTTAATTGAATGCTTAGTATGCAACATGACATATATGCTACATCGACCGTTTAATATGTGCCGAGCTATTCGTCACCTTCGCTCCAAACACCCGGATTTAATGCCTGAATTTGCTTCTACTACTGGCGATTCGGTAGGTTCGAGGATTTTAAATACTTAAAAAGTATTTTAAGTATTACATTTAGTATTATATAAATATTATTTATGAGTATTATATTAAAAAAGTATTTTAAAATTAGTCATAGAATTTGCTTCGGTATAGTTACATCATCTGTACAGGTTGAGGAAATTAATTCAACAGTTGCTAAAAAAATAATTCCTCAATAGCTTCAAATTACAATGCTAATAATAGAAACAGTTGCTACTGCATAATAAAATGCGGACATCACCGTCAAAAACTAACAAAATCCTGCTAATGGCACTACTATTACCAGTAGTTCTTTCTTCTTACTACGGATCATGCAACCACTGCGTGCATTCTTATTCACTGAAGTCAAGCAAATTATTAAATAAAATACTTTTTATTTGAAGACATTACGTTTGTAGGGTAATAGTACGCAACGCAAGCGAATGGTTCGAGGTCAAGGTAAGTTGAATTGATTTGAAGTGTGACACTGAAGTATTTAAAAGAGAAATTAATTCAATTGAAGCATTCAAATGACTAAAGCAAAATGATATGTAAATTGAGCGGTGTAAGCTATGCTTTTCTCTTTACTATTATACGTATATAATTTCCTCTATTCTGTTCAGACTTTATTTCTGTTGCAGAGGATTCTGAGGGTATTATTACTGATCCAGCTACAATTGCGACGCTCAAAGCGCAGTATGGTGTTGATTTCAAAAAAGTTTGTTTTTTTTTTTTTTTTTTTACATGGCTTTTATGTGGTTTTTCACTATTATTTTCTCTGCTTTTAGGTACAGGCGTTGAAAGGCGCAAATGGTGAACCAGTTTATGTACTGCTTGATGAAGGTGATGAGATAGATCCGGAAACTGCTAGTCAACTCGCTGCTTCTGTTGCAGCAGGAGATTTTGATCAGGCTAAGCCAGAAATACGGCATGCAAAATCTAACGCTAGTTCTACTGCTACAACAACTGCTGCTGTCGAGACTTCTGGTAGAAATGCTATTACCGCTAAGGCTACATCGGATGTGAGTTCTTTTAAATTCACAGTTTATCCATTTCACAGAAGCGTGCGAATTTTAGCTCTATCTGTTATACATATCTGTTGTTATGTTAATATTTTTGTATCAATTATTTAGGCCAGGTTTCTTTTCACATGGTTTTTTTTTTTTCTTTTGCAGTTTATGTTTCATCGCATGAATCCATTTGAATGGAAGTAATATTGGGTGAAAACATCCATTGTAAACTGTAAGGTTCTCAAGGAATAGTTACTTGGCAGATTAAATTAAATGCATAAACTCATCTTCAGGAATAGTTACCTGGCAGATTAAATTAAGTGCATAAACTCATCTTAAATGCATAAACTCATCTTCAGGACAAACATTTTTATTGAATTTAATTGGTTATCAAAAAATTTTTGCAATAAGAACAGAAATTCTATTATTGTTTTTCCTTTGCAGAAAAGTGCACGAGGTCAGCAAGCGAAACACTTTAAATCTAATCCAACAAAAAATGTTGGGAGTTCAAATTTTGAAACTGGTAACTTTAAAGTTTTTTTTTCCTTTTTGGTAATAGCATATCCGAGCAGAAAACTGAGAATCGGGCCATGGCACTCACTCTCCAAATCCCTAAAAGGATTGTTCTTATCATTAAATATAATTCAGTAGATTTGCCATTGTATAGCGAATAGTTCTTTTGTCTTTTGATTTTAACGTGCAATTATTCGAAAATTTTAGCCTATTTATCTGAACCATCATAAATTTTGCATTGTTTAATGAATATTTAATCATATTTTGTGTTCACAGATGCAAAATTTTACGATCTTGTATTTCATCATATTTTGTTTATAAAAGAAACATAAAACAGTTTACAGAAAACTCTGTCTCTGAATATGAAATATAATGAAACACTAATTTTTTACCAACAATTGTTCTAATTTTTAAGAAATCGTGAACAAGAAACTTGATGAAGCAACAGAACCGTTTATTATTGCTTCGGATTGAAGACTGAAGCTTGTAAAAGTGAAATTCATTCTCCACTATCCTGTGCGATGTATGTTAAAGAACCAGTGATATCTGTTTAATGAATTGTGGGTTACAAATGTTTATTTCCAATATTATTAACTGGAACTTTTTTTTTCAAATTTCAAAAATTTTTCATTTTATTTTTTCTTTCTGTTTTCGCCTCATTAGAAGTCATCTGTGCTTCTAAACTTTGACAGCTAGTTCAAAAAAAAAAAAGAAAAATACATCATTTATTCTATAATCATAAACTCTAACGAATATCATTGATTTGTTGATGTAGTGCATGCAGATAGGTTTAGTAACCCGTGTAAAAAGTCATTATATATTCTTTATTTTTTAATGTGAGACACTTTATTATTGACAGTCAGTTTTCTCTGATATCGGTTTTTTTTCCTCAATAAAAAACAAAGTATTCATCATGATTTATATATAGCATAAAGTGATGTGTCTTGTAACATTGTTGAATTTGGCGATTTATCAATCTTGGTAAGTTAAATTTTTCAGTATCACTCAGTTTATTGAACTCTTATCATTTAACCTGATATCGGCTCCAAAATGGAAGTTATTATTAGTGTTTGTAAATTTCCATTTCATTTTTACATAGCTGAAATTTTGTAATCAGTGTAAAATTTTTTTTCTAATGATTAGTATTTTGGCATATGGTATAAAGATTTTGCATCGTTAGGAATGTAATGTTTTATCGATAACCCAATATCAGAGGTTGAGGTTATGCTATAAACATCCATGTTTTTCACATAAAACACCCTTTTTTTTCGTTCCATAAGAGAATACCAATAAAAGAATTTTGAATAGCACATGTCAATAGTAGCTAGTTTTAACATTATTTACAAAAAGGTAGGTGGTGTTTGATAGTAATTTAGATATTTGTCAATATGCTCCTAACAGACAATGATAGGTAAAAGAAACTTTAATTTGACGTTTGTTTTTTTTTTTTTTTTTTTTTTTGGTTTTAAAAAAAGAATATTCCCAATAAAAAAAGCAAAAAAAAGAGATGCTTGTAATTTATGCGAATTATTTCCCTACTGTTTTAAATGAGGGAACATACTGTTTTACTATTATATATATATATATATTTGAAACTAAATGAAGTATCGATTACGTTTTATATTTTTTCGAGAAAAAATTTCATCTACTAACAAGGGAAAGAGAAGGTTTAAAAATGGGTTGGGTATGTGCTGTCTAGTGATTTCGATAATGTAATTAAATGACATTAATCATGATCAGTCTTTTTCCTTTTCTTCCCACTGTTAAATCAACTGTGACAAAATTGATTAATCAATTAATGGCGCATTACTTACCAGTTAATTTTATCTACTGAAAATAAAGAATATCAATACCAGGATTAATGTTATTTATTTATTTTTCATGCTATTTGAAAAAATATTTCGATTTTTCTCTTTAATTTTATTGTTTGAATTGTCTTTAAGAGAAATATTTGTCTGCTTACAGTTTTCTGCTGTGCAATTAGCACAGTCTCTTTTCTCTTTGAAAATCATTTTAGTTTAAAAAAAAATTTATTTCATTCTCTTTATATTACATACATCTTTTGATGAAAATGTGATGTAAAAAATTTTAATTCTCTTTTTGTTCTGTTTTTTTTTTTTCAATAAATTTAAGTCAAAGGAATTAAAATGAACGGACAGGAAATGACGAAAGGAGGAAATGCAACGTTATTGTCGCTATTGATTGATAATAATATTGTTAATATAGTAATGGTAATAATAGTAGTAATAGTAATAGCAATAATAATAATAATAATAATAATAATAATAATAATAATAATAATAATAATAATAATAATAATAATAATAATAATATATGATAATGATAATAATAATAATAACAATAATAATAATAAAAACAATAATAATAATAATAATAATATGGTAATGATTGCGATGTAAAAATGGTGAAAATGATAGGCAGTATAAAATTTTATTCTTTTCAATTTACGTTGATAATGAATGGTAATGGCGTGAGTAATGATGACTTATTTGCGTTCATAGTAATAGTAATAATAATTTAATAGTATTTAATATTTTAAGTACCAATTAAATTGTCTTTTGCAAGCATATATATATATATATATATATATTCATATATATATGCCTTTACAACCATAATTCATTGTCATCACTTTCGCATATTGCTTCCTTGTTCATTGCCATATATCGTCAATGTTATCGTTGTCATCATCATCATCATCATCATCATCATCGTCGTCATCTTCTATTGCTGTAGTATTTTGTCGAGATTATTTTTGTTCATCTTTAGGAAATATGTTATTGTTGTTATCACACCCGAACGACTTCAGATATATTGTTGATGGTGTTTGAAGAGGGGGAAGAGTAATGAATGAAGAGTCCCACCCATCTCCGTTTATTACCGACCCATATCACCCATCTTTGTGGGTGCTCCAAAAACTCAATACATTTACCGCCTATCGGCAACACCTCATTGATGTTTCAACTTCAAGTCTCACTTTTTCATCTTCCTTTTACCTCACTTCATCTGTTATTAGCTGGATTGCTGCTTCTTCAAACCAATAATAATAATGTTGAAGCGCAGCAGGATCGAGCTGAAGTTAATATTCGTGTTTCTGGCGCATGTGGCACAGGTAAAACAAAAATATTGTTTTTTAATTATTTTGAAATTATTTTTCAATAAAGTGCTTGTAAAATTGTTTGCAAACATTCAAGTCGTTAAGTTAATCGGGTAATTAATAATAATAATAATAATATATAGTAATAATAATAACAGCAATAATAATAGTAATAATAATAATAATAATAGTTATAATAATAATAGTGATAATAATAATAATAAATAAAAATTATAAATAATAATAATAAATAATAATAACAATAATAATAGTAGTAGTAATAATAAGAGTAGCAGTAATAATATTAGTGAAAAATAAAAATTTAAGGAGTGTTGTAAGTTTATGATTTTGTTTAATAAAATGCAGCGAATGAATGTTTTTTTTTTCCTTTCCTTTCATATATTTCGTTTATTATCTAAATTATCTCACAAATTGACTGCTTCCCATTCCCACTCATTCTTACCCTCAGCAATCTATTTGTAATTCACTCCTACCTATTTCGTTCCGTTTCAAATCCATAATTATCTGTATTAGCCCTTATCAAATCCATTTTGCACTCGTGTCAACCCATATTTCCCATTCCCTGTTGAATTTTAGCTTCTGCTAAACTTCTATCTCTATACGCCTTTCTTATGTCACATTCATTATCATTAACATTTCTACATACTATGTATATGGTCATAGCGACTTATCTTGTCACACAAATATTATGGCATTTCATAGTTTCCAAAAATTTTTTTGAAATGTGAGACTGCGAAATAGAACTAAATATTCCAATAACTTTTTAATTTGAATAGTATTATGATTTAACTGAACTACTGTGTTTTTTTTTTTAAATTTTTTTCTTCAAATAGAGCAAAAAAGTTGAGTGAAAAATGAAAAAAAGCAAAAAACGAGAAAAGTATTTCTCCCACGTTCCAATTAATCTTTGTTTTCCTTTCTAATAAAATTATTTAACAGATGAAAGAAATGCGAGGTAATGCAATAAAGTGCTAATAATAAAAACTCCTTTATTATTTAATTCTTTTCTTTTTATAAATTATTACCAAACAACAACTACATAATGAAGAATGGAAAAAAAAAAGAAAACTTAATGAAGGAATTTTTGAAGTTTTTGCTAAACAATTTTTTGAAATAAGCAATGATTGAATTTCTTCTTGTTCTAACCAAAATTTAAAGGATATTGAAGTACAAACAAAGACAGAATATATCTTTTATCTTTAATTCAAGAATATCAAGTTATATCGTCCGAATGAGCTTTAAATGACCATTTGTTTTCATACCTTTTCCGACAGCCATTTTCATCCGATTAGGAATGTAAAAAAGTTAAAAAAAAAGGGAGAGGAAATAAGAAACAAATAGAATACAAATACAAATTTCTAACTATATCATAGCAAAGTAAAATCAATAATTTATCATTTTTATTTTTTAATTGGGATAATTATATTTCAACGAATTAATGAATTTTAATTTTTAATGCTTCAATCTTAATGCCTTGATAATGTATAAAATTAAAGATGAAAAGGTTTGCCTTCCATTTTTTTCTAGAAAAATTATATTTTGCAAGTGTGTAGGAAAATGGTATTGAATAATTGTTTGAAATAATTCATTTCTCTACAATTATGTTTCATTTCCATAAAAGAGAAACTGTCCGACCTTTAACTATTTTCAAAAACAAAGAGAATTCGTTTTTTCCGGATTATTTCTTTTTTATGAGCAAGTTTTCTACTAGTTTAAGTATATTAAAAGAAATATATATTGTAAATATTGTGCTATGAGCCTTCCTTTCTCTTTTTTTTACACTGATTGAAATTTAGGCTTCAGCAGTATTTGTGTTATTAATTAGCTAGTTTTTTGCCCTTTGACAACATTAGTTACATTTTTTTTCAGTGAGAAGTTGTAAGTTTTAAATTTTTTCATTAAATTTTCTCCATTAAACTTTAACTCGTTGTTTAATTTATTAGCTGAGCTTAATTTAAGTGATAAAATTTTTCAAAGTAGTTTCAAAAGTGAAATCAAATAAACAAATCAACAAATAAAAGTAGCACTGCACTAATTATTAGTCTAATCACATTTAATCAAACTTTCTATTTACGTATATATGAAACATATTTGCTTTAATAGAGCTTAAATTGATAAACCACTCTTTCACTTTTAAGTTTATCATTGTTGACAAATTAACAAATTTTAATAATTTATTTAATGGAATGTAAATTTCCAGTTTTCATCTCTTATTTATTGCTACCAATTGTAAAGTAGTTGATGATTGCTGAAATAAAATCAGTAATATACAATTTAAAACCATTCCTTCATCATTTTGAAAATTTTTCATTTTAAAATATATATTAATCCGATG